GAAATCCCAGTTGTGAAGGGGTCATCAAGGTAGCGGTTGTGACCGTACAAGTGATCAGACTCTCCATCAGATAAGCAAAGCGATTACTAAACCTCGACCTTGGTATGGCCATCGCTATGAAACCTCTTAGCTTTTCTGCTAACGCTATTTCACTGCGCTGCTTGCCGACACTTCCTGGCACTTTGCCAACAACTGCTGGGTAGCGCTACCCAGCGCTCGTTGGTGAAGTACCTGGATGCCGTGGTTGGGGGTGGTGGGTAAGAGGGTTGGACGTTGATGAGAGGTCGTGGCTGGTGGATATTCAGATGCAGCTCCTGGGTAAGGACTGGATAGGGGACAGAGAACTGGAACAACGGTGACAGTCAGGAGTTCGAAGCAAGAAATGAAAACAGTAACTGGGTGTGAGAGCGATGGGTGCCCGGACTTGAGGACAAGATAGAGGAGCGAAACAAAGGTACTAACAAGAAGTCCGATGCACGAACTGGGAACAACTGTAAAGAGAAAGGGACAACACAGCACTAAAAAGAAAAATAAAGCAAACTTGAACTTATAAAAAAAAAAAAAAAAAAAAAGAAATTTGAAGAATGGGAACCGGTGAATAAAAGCTAAAGAAAGCAAAAGCAAATAAAAACTGAGCTTATGCGAGTGGAAATTATAAAAGTCTGTCTGCAGTAGTGGGCTTCCCTATATATGAAGCTGAGCCCTAGGTTTTTTTTTTGATGTTGGTTTTGTTTGTGTGCCCAAGTTAGCTTTAATTTACTTTTTTTTTGTAGAAGTACTTTGTTTTTTCTTCCGCTTTACTGCTGTCTTCATTGCTCGCCCCGAGATTCTGGCTTGTATCCACGTTCCCCTTCCCTCCCTGCCCCCAAATCCTACCTGCAAAACAACAACTGAGTTCCTCTCCATCCCAACTAAAAGGGCACTCCGGAAGCAAGAAATATTTCAGCCCTCTTCCAATCCCAAGTGTCTGCGACAAAAAACCAGGACCTCTCTTCTTTCTCATTTCCACCTAACTCCCCCTCCCCACCGCTTCGCTTCCGATTTACGTGACCTAGCCAACCGACAAAGGACCTACGCCACGCACTTATTCAATTGACCCACCCAACCACCTCTCCCTGCCTCGAGC